AAAAAAAATTTGCCCCCCTCTGGAAAGTTAATCGGTTTTTTTGCCCCCCCCCCCCCCTTAGAAAGTTTTCTGCGGGCGCCCATGTCACTCTATATCTGTGTTCACTAGTGATCAACAACAACAAATTTTCTGTTTAGTTTTTCCTTCTAATTGTCAGGTCTACTTGATTTTATTTGAATAATTTATATTATCTGAATATAGTAGAAGGTTAAATTTAGTAACTCCTTGCTCCTTATAAACACCGGAAAAAAAAAAGAAACTCAATAGACAGGTCGGATCAACCTATATTATTAATATTCCTTACAGTAAACGAAAGCTTTTCAACAAAAGACAACAAATTTCTAAGAATTGCTGCAGGTGCGGAAAATTGAAAGCAACGTATGCGCACGTTGTTTCTGCAGGAGCCGACGCTCATAGCTCTAATCTTGTTTACTCTGCGAATTTTTCAAAAAACCTCTTTAATATATTTTCAAACAGAATTACCCTTGTTTGTTGCAAGCCAAGAGGCTGAAAGAAGATAGTATAAATGAAACGAGGATACCACGTATTGCAGATGATAAAACAGTTTTATCAAATTAAAAAATATTTTTCCGATGTAAGGCTAATGATCAGCTGCTTTATTGAGCAAGAAAATAAGAACTGCCCAGCATCGAAATATATTAAACAAATGAGAAGGCGTATGTCCCAGGCGCAAGACTAGTTAAAGGCGCCAAAATGTGCTATGATATTATTTTATTGATGAAAATAATGGGTTTGACAGCTATAAAAAGAAAGAGGAACTCTTTAAATGAATCTTGTCCCCAGGCGCCAAACACTCTAGCTACGCCTGTGCAATAAATCATATTGTATATCCAAGCAATTAATGTTGGATTATTGTAACCAATAACATAATAAGGGCCTTTGTAAATCAGGGATACACTTCATCAAGCCTGTTGTTTTTTTTGTTTGTTTTTTTTTGAGGACCTTGCGGAAACGTTTCCATGGCAACATTGAAAGATTGAATAAGTTGGGTGGTCTAGGTTCAATGGTTAAAGAGGGTGGTGGGGTGGGTCAAGAAGAGCTGTGCAAAGGTGACACCTGCTCGATCCGCTAGCGCCAAGGGGTGCCAATATCGTCTACAGGGTGGGCCAATAAAAGTGAGAACATTTCGTAGCGTAATATTTTACGAGATGTTCTCACTTTTTTGGCCCAACCTGTATACATATACTCGATATTTATTATCTCTATCTATTTGGTGTATTATTGTGTGTGTGTATCAATCAGTGCATCATTAAATAGTTGCCCTGGACGCAACTAACTTGCGCTTCTTTCATCCGATCTTGGAGCCAAGATGCACCTTTGGAATATTTCTCTACATTATCCCACCATGGCTGCTCTCAGGATTTTGTGTAAAAGAAGTTGTGTGTGTCGGGGGGGAGGGGGTGGGGGTACTCAGTCAGTCACGGCCAGGAGATTTAGTTGGATAATAAGATGAATGACGTCAATTTATTTGAATATTGTCTGACGGTTCCAACGATGGCGGCAGTTCCTTGATTTAGTCCGTTTGCCTCGACCACGCTGTTCTATTCCCACGAAAGCAGCACACATTTTTTCCCCAGTGAAATGTTGAAGAAAGTTGGCAGATGAATTTCGCTCTGTTCTATTTCCTTGAGAAGAAGCATAGGTTAAACTAAATTGGTACGAAAATGTACATTCCGTCAAAATGCGTTGTGTTTATTTTATTTTGTAGACAGTGGAATACAGATGGAATCTTATGATGGCACTGCATCACTACTGAACACATCATAGGTATTCAAACTACAAATACAGTCTGAAAAAAATGTTACCATGTGTAACATTCAATAACAAAAAAAAACAAAAAAAACACAAGAATATAAATAAGAGGGAAGTTTCGTGTTTTTTTTTAAATTTTAAATCTTTATTTTATCTTCAAAATTGTATTAAATTTTTTAATGAATGAAAATGGAATACTCGGAAAGACTACACAATTCCTTTACATAAATCATTTTAAAAAAACTTCAGTGTGTTATTTTCAGTTTTCGTTGATAGCGAACAGGTCTTTAGGATTAGCCGAGGATTTTTACTTGACTTCAATCATGTCATGCACACCCACATGTAATGCCACATATACAATTGACAAATTCAAAATCATTCGCCAACTATCAATTCAGTAAATTTTAATTGAACAAAATGTTATTTTTCAAACATAATTTTTCAAGGGGAAAAAACTTGTTTAAAACGTTATTTGACAGTACCCTGCCCATCTTTTTTAAAATAATAATTTAGTCTGATGTGAGTAACAGTTTCTGCCGCTTTCATGCAAAATCACCACAAATATTTCTCACAAGAGAGGCGCGAAAATCGCTCTTTGCCCCGAGGGCGCAGCTTTGCCATGGCAAGACCTTCGTGGCTGTGGTGCATGTGCATATGTGGTTTGTATGTGCAAGTGGTTAGGTGTGTGTGTGTGGGTGCAATCTCTTAAATGCAGCCCTAAATTCAACCCAAACATTTGAAAAGAGGAAGGGGTGCAGACAATGTTCCCTTTAAGCTGCGCGGCTGCGCGGCCGCGCAGCAATCTCACATACGCCGCGTGGCAGTTTTGAGTACCGCGCAGCTAATTTCCAGTGTGTGTTTGTGTCTGTAGGCTGAAAATCTTGCGCACAAAAAAATTGATGCTGTAAAAAATTTCACACAAATTTATGATTTTGCACACGAACCAACAAACCTTAGAGGGAACATTGGGTGCAGATAAATTATGCCTGAAAGTAAATTTAACACTGTATCTAATAGAGGGAAATTGGCAATGAAATTAATAGAGGAATTAATTTACATTTTTCATTTGGCAACCTGGCAATATTTTAACCGGCATATGCTCCCACTCATTCATTGAGTAAATATGTATAAATGTGTATGGATTGTATTTAAAAACAAATGTATCATTCGAATGTAAAAAAAAAATAGGAAAAGGAAAATAGTTTTATAATAGTCCTATTGTGACACACTTCATCATCTTGGAGAAAAGACCATTTATTGGCCTTGGTGCTGTATTTGTACTGGTTGGCCAGGATGGTTTTTTTTTTTCACCTTTAGCTAAACTGAATTTATTGGTTATGATAGGAGTTATAATTGGATTATTTTGACGTAGAAACTAACAATCTCAGAGCAGCAAGAAAAGAATGTGTGTGTGTGGTGGGGGGGGGGAGGGGGAGGAAGAGTATGGGGGAGTAACTTAATATTTAGCTAAACTGAATTTATTGGTTATGATAGGAGTTATAATTGGATTATTTTGACGTAGAAACTAACAATCTCAGAGCAGCAAGAAAAGAATGTGTGTGTGTGGTGGGGGGGGGGAGGGGGAGACAGAGTATGGGGTAGTAACTTAATCTGTACCCCCCACCACCAAATTTGCATAAAATTTAGATTAGTTTCGTCATTTACAAAGGGAATATATAGACAAGAATGCATACGGTTGACATTAAAAAATAAATATGTAAATACAAACATCATCGGAGAAACATAATTATAGTGAACATGGAAGAAAAAAATCTCACATTGTGTTTCACAATTGTTAATATAATCCACGTTTTTATAGTGCCTGGTACAAAGTGAAAATCTTTTGTCATGTAATCAATTGTCATCGATCACCAGGGCGTGATTGCCGTGGCCATTTATCGACCCATTTTTCTCAGACTCGCTGTTCTCTATGACGTATATTTGCTCATCTTCGGGACCCACGAACAGCCCTGAAATGTAGTAGGTGTCAGGGTCGAACTGTGGCTTCTTGCAGCAGGCGATGAGGAAAAGGACGAACGCGGCGATGCCCAGACCGCACGCTATGACGCACAGGACCAGGCACCAGCCCGTCTTCCAATCAGAGTTTTCCCCAATTTTGGCGCCAAAAATGATAATTCCTATCAGATTGCAGACACCTGCGGGAAATAAACAAGGAAACAAACAAAAATTATGATTTTAAAAAAAGGAACAACATTTTAACAATTAAAATCGGAAGAGAGCAACCATTGCTTGAACAGAGAGCAGCATGGAATCTTTTTCTGCACGATAACATTAATTTTCTCTTGCACTTATTTTCTCAGGCATAAACTGCCTCATGAACTCACTGCCTCATGAATTTGCTGTCTTGTGCAAGCACTGTACCATGCACTCACTTTCTCATACACTAAATTTCACTAAATTTTCCTCATTGTCTCGTGCTGTCATTGTCTCGTGCAGTCATTCTCTCGTGCAGTCATTGTCACGTGCAGTCATTGTTGCACTCACTATTTTTTGCACAAAGTCTCACTTACATTTCACATTTATTTTATGCAAATCAAACAAATTGTTCCCAAACACATTCAACATCTTGATATAGATGAGTCCCTTAGACTAGGGACAAACAAAATATTGATGAGATGTTATCTTGGGCTAAGACATGTTGATGTGATGTTATATTGGACTAAAACATGTTGGTGTGATGTTATCTTGGACTAAAACATGTTGGTGTGATGTTATCTTGGACTAAGACATGTTGATGTGATGTTATCTTGGACTAAAATATGTTGATGTGATGTTATCTTGGACTAAGACGTGTTGATGTGATGTTATCTTGGACTAAGACATGTTGATGTGATGTTATCTTAGACTAAAACATGTTGATGTGATATTATCTTGGACTAAGACATGTTGATGTGATGTTATCTTGGACTAAGACGTGTTGATGTGATGTTATCTTGGACTAAGACATGTTGATGTGATGTTATCTTAGACTAAAACATGTTGATGTGATATTATCTTGGACTAAGACATGTTGATGTGATGTTATCTTGGACTAAGACGTGTTGATGTGATGTTATCTTGGACTAAGACATGTTGATGTGATGTTATCTTAGACTAAAACATGTTGATGTGATATTATCTTGGACTAAGACATGTTGATGTGATGTTATCTTGGACTAAGACATGCATGCTGATGTGATGTTATCTTGGACTAAGACACGTTGATGTGATGTTGTCTTACATCCCAGTATTGTGAAGACTGACATCGTCATCATTGTGCACATGTAGTAGAGGCCCAGAGACACGTAGATGTAGACTGGTAGGATGACCAGTGGGATGGCCCAGAATATGATGGCCAGGGCCTCCATGGCTCTCACAGCATCGAGCCATTCTGTGGAATATAGGACAGCATTTGTTATGGTACTTTCATCAGTTGAGAAGTTAGGAATATGGGCATCGGGCGACTGTATTAGTGTGGACAATAACAACATACGAATGCTTCTTAGAGGAATTTCATGAATTTAAACATTTTAGAATTCAACGAAGGTGGCGCAATTTTCCATTGACTTTCTTTAATTTGACAAATCATTGTAACAAAATTGGTGAACATTGAAGGGAGCACAGTGAAAAACGAGCAAAGTCACATGACCTTCAATCTGATCATTTTAAAAACAAAGTATCGGTATGCTACCAAGTGAAAAGTGTGGGGAGAGATGGAAACACTCAGTTAGCTATTTAGTTTGGAGAGCGTCGAGCACCAGTTAGCTATTTAGTTTGGAGAGTGTCGAGCACCAGTTAGCTATTTAGTTTGGAGAGTGTCGAGCACCAGTTAGCTATTTAGTTTGGAGAGTGTCGAGGGTTGTAACTCACCGGTATAGAAATACCACATGTGGTCCGTCCTGTAGCAGCCACTGACGCCGTTCTCGTCGATACAGTTGGTCCTCCTCCAGAGACCGATGTCCGCCGTCGGGCTGTAGGCCCAGAAGGGCGCGGCAAACGCCAGAATCTGCAGCACCATGCAGGCCAGCAGGCTGACGCAGCCAATGAAAGGGATCGAGGCGGCTCCCAGCACACCCGCCATGTTGGTTTTTTGGAGACGGAAGAGCTGAAAATAGAATCATCGGAATTTGTTTAGTTCTTAGGTCTTCCAGTTGTATACAGACAGAAATTCCGCCAGAATCTATGGAACGGAGTCCTATAAGATGGAGCGGAACACAGAGCCATGACCCAACAGTTTCTGTGGGCAGAAATGTACTCTCCTACTATTTCTACGCCTACCATAGGTACCATAGCACAGAAAGAATAGAATACAAAATCTATACACTGGATGCCAGGAAAGAAAGGAGGAAGTGAGGAAGGCCTCAGGGAAACTTGGAGGAGGACATTCCAAAAGGATCATAAAAATTGAATAAGAACCATGTTGATGCGTGGACACGCTGTAAAACACGCAGCAGAGATGTCGGAATTCAAAGCCACTACAACGTGTTTGGGGGGGGGGGGGGGGGGGGGGGGGGTTTGAGACTAGCCATATGGTAAATTAAACATGTTGTGGTGGGGGGGGGGGGGGGGGGGAGGGGAGGGTTTTAGACTAGACATATGGTAAATTAAACCTGAATCATTGTGTGATTCAAAGGATCAGAATTGATTGAAAAATGTGGTCAGATCAAGATACCACTGTCTCCACACCAAACCCAAGAACATTGAAATGACGCACAGTGAACAAACTTATCATTAAATGGCGAATGGTGGTTTTAAGAGAATGCTGGGCAATTTTTGTCTTATTTCTACTAAACAAAGACATTTACAATTATTTTAAAATAAGGAAATTAATAGGATGCTGTTGTTTGACTATTGCATTGTAGATTCTGAGCACATCATACCTAAGATCAGATCTAACTCGAGGGGGAAAATAGTTCACTTCTAGGCATGCGACAACATAAAACTGAGAGCTAACAACGCAAGTATTTATCGTCAAGACACTCACTAAAGAGTAAGTGTGTCTATCATGACAATGTGTGTCTCTGGAGGTGCCACTCACTAAAGATGAGGTGTGTATATCATTTGTGTCAAGAGGGTGTCACACATAAATATTTCTTGACATGCCAGCATCTTAGTTTAGAGTCCCCGCGTGCATTGATTTCAACCTGGGGCACGAGTAACAAAAATGAAATATTGTTCTATTCCCCATTTTCTTGGCTGAGACTAAAACTATGTTACAGGAGCTGTGATTGGTGATTGATCTCAAATCCTGCTACTTTGATAGGTGCTTGATCTCAAATCCTGCTACTTTGATAGGTGCTTGATCTCAAATCCTGCTACTTTGATAGGTGCTTGATCTCAAATCCTGCTACTTTGATAGGTGCTTGATCTCAAATCCTGCTACTGTGATTGGTGCTTGATCTCAAATCCTGCTACTATGATTGATGCTTGATCTCAAATCCGGCCACTGTGGTTGGTGCTTGATCTCAAATCATATGACGATGTTATTTGCCAGTTTCGACATTCTTAATAAATATTTTTTAAAGCCATTTTGTTTAGAGGGACACAGAAACGAAAGACTCCAATAGGGTTTGTCATAAAATAGCGGACATCTATTAATAGAACATCCGGGCGTAAAGCCCGATTAATCTCATTAATATATTAGTTCAACATCCTGATATTCCGTTTGGCCAATCTCTCACCAGCTGATTGGCACCTTGACGTTAACGTGAGCCTTAACCTCGACGAACATGGGTTTGGAACTTGATTTTTACAAACACATTGTTACTGCTATAAATGTGGAAATACATTGTTTTACATACAATGTCAAGATGCTAACAATGTCAAGATTCTACCAATGTCAAGATGCTAACAGTGTCAAGATGCTGACTCTGTCAAGATGCTGACTCTGTCAAGATGCTGAATATGTCAAGATTCTGCCAATGTCAAGATGCTAACAATGTCAAGATTCTACCAATGTCAAGATGCTAACAGTGTCAAGATGCTGACTCTGTCAAGATGCTGAATATGTCAAGATTCTGCCAATGTCAAGATGCTGACAGTGTCAAGATGCTAACAGTGTCAAGATGTTGACAGTGTCAAGAAGCTAACAATGTCTTCCTATAGCTACACTTAACTTTTTCATTATTAAACCGCCTTAAAGTTCATCCAACAACTGACCCTCGGAGTCGGCAAAAAACAATCCTAATTCAACGTGACAAGTTTTGCCGCGGGGGTTGAGGGGGGGGGGAGAGAGAGACAGACTGCCAAAATGACATCACAGCTACATTTCCCCGACAGTTGTGTACAGGTTGGAGCTAAGGTGATTGGAGTTCCCAACTCCTCCCCCAAAATTCTTCAACTCCGAACAGGCCCAAAAAACAATAACAACCGTGTCGTACATTGTGTTGACTTCCAAACAGTGAAAAGCCTTTCGCCGTGGTATATTCCGCCAGTAGAGACTGACGTGTGGACACACATTTGAGCAACCTCAAAGTCTTTGGTTTCTCTCAACGTCCTATTTATGCTTGAGTTTGAAGCCTCACGCGAAACAGCTTTTGTGAATTAAAATATTAACACAGTGGAAATGTTAACAAAATTTAACATGGGCCCAACCCAAATCTCCACAGAAAGGGCCTACGAATTGAGGTGTAGGCCCTTTTTATTGATAGCAAACGAGAAACACTGTCCGAGCTACCTTCTACACCACAATTATCTCCTGTTTGTTAAAATTAAATTTGAAAAGATTGACTGTACTTACCAGTCACTGACCACTTGACCGTGGATATAAACAAAGGAGTTACTGGTTCAAGATTTGACAACACACTTCACTCCATGCAATATAACAGAACAGCTATTTTTCGCTCTTTCGTACACGTCACCAAACAGGTTTCAGAAGCGCGACGCCTGTGTTTAAAAAAATGTATTAAATCGAGTCTCTAAAGCTCTGCTACACGGGTGACTGGAGCGATTCTCAAAACATTAGAGGTATACCTTCTAGTAGGTACCCCCTCCCCACTGACTCTCAGTTAATGGTTTTTTTCTATTACGTCATCGTGTCTTTAAGATCAAAGAAATGTATGGTTTTTTTTCCGTTTTTTTTTTTGGGGGGGGGGGGTCTTTGGAAAAAAAGACTTGTTCATGCGGGGCTGGGGAGGGGGGGATCTTATAGAAATATTTGACGACTGTGTGCACAAACAACCCCCTTTCAGGACCGTCTTATTACCAGCAACAGGGCCCCTGTTTAAATCCATTGATGTTCATCCTAAAGTTCTTACGGGCNGGGGGGGGGGGGGGGGGGGGGGGGGGGGCTTGCTTTTTTTTTTTAAAAGGGGCCCGAAGTTGTGAAGAGGGGGGTAAAATATAAATGATCAAATCTATGGACGCAGGAGGCGAATGAATCTAAAAAGTGGCAAGATTGCCTTCATAAGCCACTCCACGGCCATGGGTGTAATCACCACTTTCACTAATTACTCGTAATTACTACTAATGGCAATATTGGGGGAGGGGGGGGGTTATGACGATTCGCGCAATCGAGCAACCATGTAATGATTGGGTTGACATAAAATATGTCGCGCTTTTGCTACATTTCTAAACTTCTGTTAAGCCCTGTCATTGTGTGGGCCCCACAACCACCAACTCGTCCATACGTGTGAATGGTCCCACTAGGCGGAGCTCTACTGAAAACCGGGGGAGCAGGTTCTTACAGATATGGAAATACATTTTGCCAGGCAGGTCCTATTTTTAGCCGGCGGTAACGCATCGGGAATCACCCAACCAGGGTTTCCCAATCTGGCGCGCGAGGCAACGTACCCAGGGATGCTCGGAAATGGGATTGTAAGAGCAGAGGAACCATTGCCTTTTAAGTTGTGACCAATTTGGCCTTACGTTAAAAGTATATATCTAAGGTTGTCTTTGTAATTTAATTTTTAAAAGTACATTCTCCCCCTCTGTTTAAATTGCATTATTGTAACCTTTGGAGATGGTGTCAATAGTTTTCAAAATTTGGTCGTTTTTTTGTTCTTTCTTTCTTTTTTTTTTGTGTTTTTTTTTTTTTTTTTTTTTTTTTTTTTTTTTTTTTTTTTTTTTTTTTTTTTTTTTTTTTTGTTTTTCTTCGGGGGGGGGCAGCGGGTTGTTTGAAATAGAGATAAAGTTTGGGGAAACACTGGCCTAAAATCGGTAATCACTTAGCCTAATATGTAGGCCTAATATTACATTTTATAAGTGATAATTACAATATTCCTTCTCAGTTCATTAAAGGGGCTATGGGAATGGTGAGAAAAATGAAAGAAACAGAAACAGTTTGTAACTAATTATAGAAACTGAGATCACTAGTCCAATGAGAAAGTATTTCGTCTCACAAGTCTCCCATTTCCCCAAAAAGCCTTAAAATGAACCAGTCTTAGGGCCCTCACCAGGGCCGGCTCAACCATTAAGCTAACTGTGCTGCATACAATGATACCGCCCCAATGATACAGACACAATGATACCGCCCCAATGATACCGCCACAATGATACCGCCCCAATGATACCGCCCCAATGATACAGACACAATGATACCGCCCCAATGATACAGACACAATGATACAGACACAATGATACCGCCACAATGATACCGCCCCAATGATACCACCCCAATGATACAGATACAATGAGATCGGAAGATC